TTGGCAGTGGAACAGAAACGGGGTGGGGACTTATAACTGCCTGTTAATGAGAAATAAGATGAGGAGGAGATACGAGATTCTGAAGCCCTCAGTTATCATAGGTGTGAACTATGCTGGTTTACCCCAGGCACTCCACCTTATTTGCTACAACAGAAGCTCAAGTGGAAGTGGGCAGAGAGGCAGTGAAGTAATGTGGGGAGATGTAATGTTTATGGTCATTGGGAGGATTCCAAACTTTCAGAAGGTTGAATGGCAACACTCAATTGCTTCAACTTCTCAGGTCTATTGGGGAATGCGTTCTTGGAGGAATTGTCTTGCACATTTAGTTCCTCACTGGGTACGGAGGTGAAATGAATGGATTATCAAAGGGAGGATGGGCCAGGTCAGGCTGCATCCATGACTCAAAGAGGTCTAAGGGTATTTGCCCTTTTGCCATGGTAGCCAAAAAGACAGTCATAGGCTTGGGGTTAAGCTGGAAGTGTACATCCAAGGTCATAAACTGATGGCCCATGGTTTGATGCCAGCCAACAGACATATTTTGAATGGCTCAGTAGTTTTTGATATTTTAAAAAATTAATTGCCAACCTTTAAAATTGGGATATTTCATTTAAAATCTGGATTTCCAGCTTCTCTCGAAAATCTGACTTCTCTTACATGTTGCTGTAAAAACAAATTGGTATGGCCCATTTATGAAAATACCTCTGTGGGTGGGGGAGGGCATGGTTGCAAAACAAACATAAAAGGCAGGCGTTATTTGTGTAAAAATACGGTAAAGAGTAAAAGTATTTAGTGGGCAAGGGTGGTCTTAGGATGACTAAGATTAACCTTTTCCTGTAAATGATCATTTCTTCTCTATCACCTTTCTGGTGATGGTGTATATCATAGTTTCTAAAGAAAGTGGAAGTACATTTGTAGGGATGTATTCACAGGATCTACACCAGGGTATCTCTGGGTGTCCCGGGGTAGTGCAAATGGTTAAGCACTCGGCTGCTAACTGAAAGATTGTCAGTTCAAGTCCACCCACAAATGGCTCGGAAGAAAGACTTGGCGATTTACTTTGAAAAATCAGCCATTGAGAACTTTATGGAGCACAGTTCTACTCTGACAAACATGGGGTCGCCACAGGTCAGAAATGACTCAATGGCAACTGGTTTAACCACACTTGTTAGTTTGGAAATGACGGTGGTTAAGGCTTTCGAGTTAGCCTTTTAGGAACCCATATTTCACTTTCAGTGGAACAAAAGTGAAGACACACAAGAATATAAAAGAATATCGATACCTGTCATACTGTTGGGAGTCATAGGTTAGTAATCATTCTGGATCCTTTTTCTCACTGACATCTCCTGCAAAGAAAAGACAAGAAAAAATATGCCCACAGGTTATACCACCACTACTAGTTATATTAGCTTGCATTTTCCATAATGCTTTTGTTCTAAAACAGTATCATAAGTATTAATTATCTCATTTGTCTTTATAACATTCCTACAAGGCAAGATTTGTTACTCTCAACTCAGAACTGGGGAAACTGACGCATAGGTAGGCTATGTCATACACGTACGTTTACAAAACCTCTTAATTTTTATCTCAGGGTTTTTTCTATTGAACTTCATTGCTATCCTCTTTTCTCAGATGGAAGTTTTCCCTAAAGAAAGGGCTAAAGACTTGGGTATATACTTCTGCATGATTTGCAAAGTGCTTTTTAGAACATTTGTATTTAATCCCACATGGAACTCACAGAAAGGAAATATTACAGTCTGTGTCTCAGAAGTTTTTAAATTTCTTAACCTTAAAATATAAGAAATCGTATATACTTAACGTTCTGCGTAACATTAAAAATAATTAGTTACTTTCACATTTTAAGGTGTTAGGAAGAGGGCATTATCTGGAGGTGTGTTCTACACACATTCAGGACAAGACTTTAAAACAGAAAAGTAGGAGTTTGTGTTTCATCAAATGCAATGTCAAGAAATAAGGCATACCAGGGTCTTAAAAGTTTGTAAATGGCATACAAGATATGACAATTGGTCTTTATTTGCCTGTGGCAATAGAGGAAGAAGGGGACTCAGGACTAGCAGGAGGAAATGGAATGTGTGGCTAATTGCCTCAAGAACAACTGCTTCCTTTGCCATGAGACCAGAAGAACTGGATGGTGCCCGGCTGCCATTATAGAATATTTTGATGAAAGATTCTATAGAAGAATGCTGATCAAAAGGAGGATAATGCAGAACAGAATTTCAACTTCTCATGGACTCCAGACTTTCTGGAGCTAAGGGGGTTGGATGAACCCCTGAAACTACTGCCCAGAGATAATCTTTAAAACTTAAACTAAAAATAACCCCTGATGTCTTCTTAAAACCAAATAACAGTTTAGCTTAACTAGTAAAAAATGTCTGCCTTGAGAATTATGCCTTTTTAAGAACTATCTATATGGCATCAAACTGACAACAGAAACTAGAAAGATTAGATAGGGGGCAGTGAATTTATGTTAACAGGGGAGGAACAACTCAGAAAAGGAGGGTGAGAATGGTTGCACACCTCAAAGAATGTAATCAATGTCACTGAATTATCCATGTAGAAATGGCTGAATTGGTGTATGTTTTGCTGTGTATATTCTCAACTACAACAACAATAACAAAATCAATAAAAAACAAGAAGTAAAGCATAAGGTAGGTATGACACATATACTCAAGTTCAGAATCTATTTTAACAAAAATTCACTTAAAGAAAAATTAGAAGTTTACAGTAGTTTTTAGAGAGGCATTAGGGGGAAGGAAAAGTACATTTTTAAAGTTTTTAAACAAAAGAATAATCTCATTGTAAGTAAAAAAAAAAAGTCATTAGCTTTTCCCTATCTTTTCTCCTGTTAACGGAAAACGAGGCAGGCAGCCACACTGGTGTGCATGGACTTGGTTGCACAATTTTCACAACTTTTAGCGCACAGTCTCAAATCTTCACTCAGAAGAACCTTTTCAGCATGATATGCTTTCCTTATTGAGTGCTTCAATGATTACAGAGTACTTTTTAATCCATCTACCAAAAGTTTAGGGTATCTTTTATATCTTTTTTAACCTTCTTCTATAAACGTGTTTTTTAAAGTCAATTTTTTATTCAAGAACACATGCCTATTTTTCAATCTCTGGTTTTTATGAAAGCTACCAGCCTACTGACTTGCTGTTTTTCCCCAAAGTGGCTAAGATGTATTAGCATCTTTAGTCTAGAGCCTTCCTACTCAAAGTGTGGTCCATGGACCGGCAGTATCAGCATCTCTTGGGAGCTAGTTAGAAATAGAAAATCTTGGAACCTGCCCCAGCTCTACGGAATTAGACTCTGCATTTGGACAAAACCCTCAGGTGATTCATACGCCCTTTAAAGTTTGAGACACACAGCTTTAGGGAATTGAGTCCATACTCTCATCTTCCTACTTATGACTCTTCACCAGTCCAGCCTGAACTCCTCCCCCTCATCAAGACATAAATGAGATCCAAGAGCAATAGACAGACTTGAGCCTCAGTCCAGGGAGGGTGGGCATCAGTGACCAGGGAAAGAATGTTGTAGGATGCCGTACAGATGGATGACACAGATGGGCGCAGGGGCTGATGAATGTGGGTCAGAGTCCCTCAATATACTGGTGGGGATGGGTCAGATTCAGTTTCTTTTTCTAGAGGGCACTCTCTGTGTTCCCTGGTTGACGGTGGTAGCAGGTGGATTAGGACTAGCACCGCAGCCCAAGACATGGGTCTAAGGGTCAATGCTGTCACTTACTAGCTGTGGGATCTTGGTAGTAATTTCAAACCCCTGGAATTTCAATTGCTTCATGTGTAAAATGAGGGAAATACTCACTATGATTACTTCACAAGGCCGATGTTTCTGAGGTTTAAGGACGATGTGAGTGACAGTGCTGGGTAAACTAGAATGTACTCAGCTCAAGAAAGCTATAGGATGAGGGAGAAAATATCCTGATGTACATAACTGGTTGGAGAAGAGTTAGTACATAGTATGTGGATTATGCTTACAACCTAAGTTTATATATGATCATTTATTCTCCGTCGCCACATCTAATACTGCAGCCCTGAATTTATACCTTGATCAGAGCTCTTGGCACACCCTGTGGTGATTACATGTTTACATGGCTGCCTTTCCCACTAGTCCATAATCGCTTCACGGCAGGGACTATGTCTTTCTCACTTTTATATCTTCCATATCTAGCAGAGTCTCAGAGGCACAATAGGTTCTCAACAAGTATGTGTTGAATAAATAAATAAAATGAAATTAACAAAAGTATAATCTACCTGAATTGAATCTGATAGAAGCGATGAATATTAGCTACTTTTGCCCCCTCCTCTAGGAAAATGTGTCCTTGCTACCGATTAGGATTTCCAGTGTCACCAGCTGCAGGCCCTCTGTCCCATCTTCATTTACCTATCTAGGAGGGTTTTGAATGACAGTGACCAGATCTGAGATGTCCTGAGGGAAACCAGACAATATCTGATGTGGACTCTAAGTACTGAATGTCTAGGGTGTCGTCGCTTCTTTTAGAGATTATGCTGCCATTAACCCTCTCCCCTTCCTGATCCATGGAAGCCACCATGTTTTCTCATGACACTGTCCCTGAATATTCTGGGAAAGATGGGGCACCTGGCTCAAGCTGGGCCAACCACAATGTCCCATCTCTGGCCAAACTGGTTCAAGACCTAAGCTGGGCTAATGAGGCCTTTTTCCAGGATATCTGAAGAGAGAGAAAAAGAGAGTGAGGAAGAGAGGTAGAGAGAGGGAGAGAGAGAGAAAGCTTACTTAGTACCTCTCTGTTGGCAGTTGAAGCTCTAAAACTGTTTGAGGCCATGCAGTCTCCTAGCCACATGCAAAAAGCCTGTCTGAAGGGGAGAGAGAGGATCTACTGGGCGTTCATAGAGAACCTGAAGGGAAAAGAGAATACTGTGGTCACAAACCCTGGTTTTAGTTCTTCCTGTGGCCCAACTATTTCCCCTCCTGCATCTCCAAGGGTTTGATTGCTCAACCCTTCCTTGGGCCCCGGAGCAAAACATCCCCCATTTTACACAGCCGATGGAAAACAGTGATATTAAAATATAACATGAATACCAATGTGTCAGAATAGTTCAGTGAGTCATTTTTATCATTTCTAAGGTAAAGCTACAAAATCCCACTTACGCTCTTGCTATACCATAAACTTAAAAAATATCATTTTCAAAATTTCAATTCAACACGCATAGAAACTACAGAAAGCCATTATGTGTGAAGCAGACAGTATCCGGGATCAGAAAAATAATCTTAATAAGGCTTTAAAAATATAACAATGTTATCGCCACACACTTTAGTATTAATATAGCTATTTTCCTTCAACGAGCTCTAGAGTTTTAAAAATGAAATTTCAGTAATGCTTCTAACAATCCTCAAAGGTAGGTGGGTATCTGAGAGCATCGTTTCCCAGTCATCCTATAATACAAGGTGGGTGTCAGAGCAGTGTTCTGTACTGAGGAGGGGAATCCCAGAGATGGCCCCATCCAGACCCATGGTGGAAGACGATCATGGGGTCAACAAAGAGAAGAAAGTTCAAGAGAGCTTTAAAAAAATGAGTTTGATGGCTAATTTTATGTGTTGACTTAACTAGGCTACGGTGCCCAGTGATTTGGTAAAACACTAGTCTAGTTGCTGTTATAGTTAACCGAAAAAAAACAAAACAAAACCAAAAACCCAAAACTGAACCCGTTGCCCATTGAGTTGATTCTGACTCACAGCGACCCTATAGGACAGAAAAGAATTGCTCCCATAGAGTTCCCAAGGCTGTAAATCTTTACAGAAGCAGACTGCCACATCTTTCTCCCGAAGAGCAGCTGGTAGGTTCAAATTGCCAACCTTTCAGTTAGCAGCCAAGCGCTTTAACCACTGCACCACCAGAGTTCCTTATAAAGTAGTTACATGTGACTAAATCAGTTGGCTTCAATCGAAGCAGATTACCTTCCATAATGTGGGCGGGCCTCAGTAAATGGGTTGAAGGCCTTAAGAGCAAAAAGGGAGTTTCCCTAGGGTGTGGTCTGCCTCCAGACTATAAATAGACATTTTGCCAGAACACTTTTTGCTCTTCTCATCACTGACCTGTGGATTTGGGGATGCAAGCCAGCCTGCTGCCTAACCTACGAATCTGGGACTCCCAACCCAGCACAATCGTGTAAGACAATTCCTTGAAGTAAATCTCCCTCCTCTTCTTCTTGTCCTCCTCCTCCACCTCCTCCTCCTTCTTCCTTCTCTCTCTATCTATATATCTTGCTGGTTCTGTTTCTCCCAAGAACCCTAAGACACTAAGTTTATTTATTTTCCAGGGAAGGAA